GCCACCTTAGGTGTACGTGGCTGGCACCTTGGCCGGTTGAGCTATAGGCGTGGAGCCTAATTTTTTTTTTTTATATATTACAAAACAATACTTGGTTTATAAAAGGATTCAACACCAATTTTTTTTTCTTTTTTGTTTTTTTTGAGATAGAATCTCAGTTTGCTGTTCCTGGTATAGTGCCATGGCATCATAGCTCACAGCAACCTCAGACTCCAGGGCTCAACTAGATTCTCTTACCTCAGCCTCCCTAGTAGCTGAGACTACAGGTACCCACCACAATGCCTAGCTATTTTTATAGGTGGGGTCTCACTCTAGCTCAGGCTTGTCTCAAATTTGTGAGCTCAGGCAATCCACCCTCCTCAGACTCCAGAGTGCTGGGATTACAGGCATGAGCCACTGTGCCAGGCCAAACACAAACACAGGCCAAACACTGATTTTCTAAATGGTTACTTTCCTTAGTCTATTTTACAGAGAATTAAAATATATAAATTTTAATCTCTCTTTGAGACAGTGATCCAAGCTTCTTCCCTTGATGATGTTACCAGTTCATACTTTGTTTCAATAACTTGTCCCTTCACAGAAAGTAGGTGTAGTCTCTTCACTAATACACTCAGGAGTACTGTGGTCACCATATATGCAAACCTAGATAGAAAGAAAGTCAATTAAACATTATATATATATATATATATATAATTTTTTTTTTTTTTTTTTTTTGAGACAAAATCTCAGCCCTGGGTAGAATACTATGGCATCACAGCTCACAGCAACCTCAAACTGTTTGGGCTTAGGCAATTCTCTTGCCTTGGCCTCCCAGATAGCTGGGACTACAGGGGCACACCACAATGCCCAGCTATTTTTTTGTTGCAGCTGTCGTAGTTCAGCTGGGTCAGGTTTGAACTTGCCAGCCTAGGTGTATGTGGCTGGTGCCCTACCCACTGAGCTATGGGTGCTGCTTAAAAATTATATTTTAATTTTATAGCTTGCTCATTCTCATCAATGCTGATCATCATGATTTTTCTTTTTCTTTTTTTTTTTAGAGACAGAGTTTTACTTTATTGCCCTTGGTAGAGTGCTGTGGAGTCACAGCCCACAGCAACCTCCAACTCTTAAGCCCAGTCAATTCTCCTGCCTCAGCCTCCCAAGTATCTGGGACTATAGGCCCCCACCACCCTTGATATATGAGGCCAG